CCTCGGTACCGGGGGGGTTGGGGCCATGGCGCCGTCGGTGCCGCTGCTGTGGGTGCTGCTGCCGGGGCTGGCGGCGCTGGAGCCGCTCAGCGTGGGCCTGGCCATCGGCGTGGCCTCCGCCCTCACCGGCTACCTGTCGCACCCCAGGTTCTACTGCAGCTACGTGGAGTGCTGCCCCCGCGACGGGCAGCGCCTCAACGCCACCGGTACGGAGGGGGCTGGGGGGGTGCCCCGCGCTCGGCCGGTCACCGCTCCCGGTGCGTGTGCGGTGACCGGCGGTGCTGAGCTGTCCCTCTCCCCCCGCAGCGCTGAAGGCGCAGCTGGACAGCAGGCTCTTCGGGCAGCACCTGGCCAAGGACGTGGTGCTGAAGGCGGTGCTGGGCTTCAGCAACAACCCGAGCCCCAAGAAGCCGCTGATGCTGTCGCTGCACGGCTGGGCCGGCACCGGCAAGAACTTCCTCAGCCAGATCCTGGCGGAGCACGTCCACCCCGCGGGACTGCGCAGCAAGTTCGTCCATCTCTTCCTGGCCACCCTGCACTTCCCCCACCACGACCAGGTCAAGCTCTACAAGGTGAGGAGGGGCCCTGGTAGAGGGGGTTGTCCTGCACGTCCCCCCCAGCCCGGATCCCTGGCAGCTGGGGGGTGCAGCCGGGTGTTCCAAAGCTGGCGCTTAGGAGAGACGGAGGGGCAAGTTCATGCAGAAAGTAAGAGGAAAAGGCACCAAAAAGCCGGGGAATCGAATGTGAGATAATTTCCTAGTGCTGTCCTCTCACCGATGCCATCTGCTGATTCCTGTGCTCGCTGCTAGGAGAGTCCCAGCATCTCAACTGAATATCCTGGTTGAGATGGAAGGAACCTTCTCTCTAGCCCCTGCAGGGCCATATTTTGCACTTATGGCTAAAACAGCGTTGATAATGCAGCAGTGCTTTGGCTGTAACATAAATGTGCTTGCACAGCCTCAAAGATGCTGGTTTTCCACTCATATCAAGCAGCCTGGGGTGGACAAGAGATTGGGAGGGGACACAGCCTGCACAGCTGACCCCAGCTGGCCAAAGGGATGTTCCATACCATATCCTGTCATGCTCAGCAATAAAAACTGGGGTAGAAGAAAGAAAAAGTGGGGTATCATTGGCTTCCAAGGGGGTTGTTGCTCTAACTCTGGCTGGGCAATTGGTCTGCATGTGTCAGGAGGGTGAGTGATTCCCTTTGCTTGGTTTTTTCCTCTTTCCATCACCTATCAAACTGTCTTTATCCTGACCCAGTGGTTTTCTCACTTTAATTCTTTGTTCTCTCTCTCCCATCCTGCTGGGGTGCCTGGCTGGGGCAACCCACCACACACTGTGCAGTGAGAAAGTGCATTCTGCATCAGAGGTTTTCCAAGGGACTTCAGTCCTTGTCATTGGAGAATTCTTATCTTCATGTTTTAGTGTTTGAAGGAACCCAGAACTGATGTACTGATAGATGTTGTTTCTGTAGGAAAAACGAAACTGACTTTTTTAAAACAAACAGAAAGATTTCTCTAATACTTCCCATCTCAACCCCGTTTTCATGTCTTAGCCCTACACAAAGCAGAAGAAATTAGGAAGTCTTTTTCCTCTGTCAGCAAGAAAAGAGTTCACATTTAAATTCAGTGTCACACGTCAGAGGGATCAGTCACAGAGATTATGGTCCTTGGGAAAAAGTACAACCAGGGAGTGTGGGATGCTTACATTTGACAGGGTGTCCCCAGAACCTGTCACATGCAAGAATCTCGTAGTACAGCCAGAAAAAAACCTCGTTTTTCAGTGGTTTTCAACTTCTTGTTCCAGGAACAGCTGCAGAACTGGATTCGGGGCAATGTCAGTGCCTGCCCCTCCTCTGTCTTCATTTTTGATGAGATGGACAAAATGCATCCAGGTGTCATTGATGCCATCAAGCCATTCCTGGACTATTATGAGGAGGTGGATGGGGTGTCCTACAGAAAAGCCATCTTCATCTTCCTCAGGTCTGTGGCACCTGTTTCTGTCATTTTGAGATACTGAGATAAGTGTTTGTTTACGATGGTAATGACGTTCCCAAGGGACCTCATTCAAAGCACAGCAGAGGAACCACTCTGAAGACCCTCTGTGCAAAGACAGGCACTGATGGCTATTTAAAGAACTGGAGACTTGCCCTAAATTTTGGAGTATAGGATTCTGTTTTGGTGATTTGTTTGATATCAAGATTAGCAATACAAGTAACGGGCTGCAAAAGAAATTCTGGTTCAGCTGTGTCTGTGTTTCAGCACTGTAACATTTTTCTTTTATGACCAGCAATGCAGGTGGTGACTTAATTAATAAAGCAGCTCTTGACTTCTGGACAAGTGGAAAGCGCAGGGAGGATATTCAGCTGAAAGACCTGGAGCCCTTGCTGTCTGTAGGAGTCTTCAACAACAAGAATAGTAAGTCACTTTGCCCTGAAAAATGGGCAATTCATTCCTCAGTGGCTGAGACAAAAGTGCTTTATGAATTCAGCCAGGCCTGCGGATCCTGTTGTAGGCGGGATCGAGTTTAGAGAAACTCCTTCTTGTGATTATTTTCATTTCCCAACTCTTCCAGGTGGACTGTGGCACAGCAGCATCATCGACAGGAACCTCATCGACTACTTTGTGCCCTTCCTGCCCCTGGAGCACAGGCACGTGAAGATGTGTGTCAGGGCTGAGATGGCCGCCCGTGGCTACGCCGTGGATGAGGACATTGTTCAGGCCGTGGCTGATGAGATGACATACTTCCCCAAGGAGCAGAAAATCTACTCTGACAAAGGCTGCAAGACTGTACAGGCCAAGCTGGATATTCATGAAGACCTTGTGATGGGAGATATGAGAGGCAGGGGTTGATTTCTCCTCCCTTCAAGTTTCCAAAAGCACTTTCAGAGCTTTTGGAAATCTGTGTATTTGCACTTCCGCTTTTTTACTGTTGCAGGGAGTATGGTGAAAATACCAGAGTGAGCTCTGTGGGCTTTGTAGCTTTTTTGTGTGTTTTTGGTTTTTTGTTTTTTTTTTAACTTAACATAGAATCATAGAATTGTTTGGGTTGAAAGGGTCCTTAAAGATTATCTTGTTCCACTCTCTGCCATGGGCAAGGACACCTTCCACTAGATCAGGTCACTCAAAGCCCCATCCAACCTGGCCTTGAACCACTGTTCATCTCTGAACAATCCAAATATTACCCCTTTAGTTTTCTTTTAATCTGTTGAGAATTTCTGAGTGTGACACACACACTGCACTGGATAGAGTCTCTCCTGCTTTATTCTTCCAAGTGCTGAGATTATTTAGTATTTAATTCCTTTTTCCACAAAGACTAGACTAGAGCAAAGGAGAACAGAGAAATTCTTCCAGGCAGTCGTATTCCCTTCCATGTACACGGTCCTGTTCATATTAATTGTGAAATGGAGGGATGTGTGATGTGTTCAGGACTATGATCATGTCTGCAAGGGTGAACTCCTTGATGCACTAAGAAGATGATATGGTGGAAGTCTTCCTGTCCTTCCAGTAGATTGATGCTGTT